TTTTTTTTTCATTTATTTTTATTAGTTGGAGGCTAATTACTTTACAATATTGTAGTGGTTTTTGTCATACATTGACATGAATTAGCCATGGATTTACATGTATTCCCCATGGTAGATTTTTAATTCACAGCTTCTTACTCTGGGCCTTGGCCCCCTGAGGTACAGCAAGACATTGACCTTCTCAACTCCTGGGGCAGCCTGGCCACGCCTGGTGAAGCCAGAGCTCTTGGGCCAGCTGCTTGCCCCAGGCAGGGGCTTCAGACGTTCTCCTGTACCTCAGGATGTCACATGGACACGAGCACATTACACGTGTGCTAAGACACGACAGTGATGAGGAAGCCCTGCTCTTAACTCTGCCAAGGGTGGACGTCCAGTTTCCTCAGAAGGACCATTGTTATCTCAAGGTCTCAGACTCAGTTATACTCTTCAGGATCCCCTAGGTGACCAGCTTGGTGATACTTACGGAGCTCCTCCCCAGTCTCCAGTTGGATTATCAACTTTAACTCAGAGCACTTAACTTCACAGTGTTTCCAGCACAGTGAAAAACAGAGAACGTAGCCTACTCCCACGGAATTGCTACTCACCAAGCAGAGACCAGGAAAGCAATGGGGTGTGAAAGGAAAGGTTGCTGCGTGAGGGCAGGTGGGCCCGAAAGAGGCTGCCCTGGGACTCCCAGATGAGCCTGGCAAAGTTCAGGACTCAAGGGGCTGGCCTGATGGGAAGGACGTGGGTGGGTTGGAGAATAGTGAGCTGTACAATAGAGTCTGTGAACAGAGAGTCCCTATAGGCTAGTAAGGGTGTGCGCCATGGATGGGTGGGGTCAAGGTTATGAAGGCCAGTTATCCTGGTGTGGGGTAATGTGGGTCCACTCCTTGCTGAAGGCCAGAGGAGGAAGGGGCTGATTCAGGAGGTGTAGCTTAGAGGTCTGGTAGGCAGTGATGCGGTTTCCCAGGTGGCTTAATGGCAAAGAATCCACCTGCCAATGGAGGAGAGGTGTGTTTCATCCCTGGGTCAGGAAGATCCCCTGGAGATAGAAAAGGCAACCCACTCCAGTATTCTTGCCTGGGAAATCCCATGGACAGAGGAGCCTGGTGGGCTACAGTCCATAGGGTCGCAAAAGAGTTGGACATGACTTAGCAGCTAAACAACACCAACAGGCTGTGATGATCACCTAGATGCCAGGGACGAAGAACAGAAACAGGCAAAGGTGACATGAGGATGCAGAGCTGGGGCAGGCAGGGGATGGGGCTGAAACAGCTCTGCAGAGCCTGAGAGAGCTCAGTCCTCTGCCTGCCTCACCCTGTCCACCTCCCATAGTCCGAGCAGCCCCAGGGTGGCTGCTGCCTGCCTCCGTCTCAGGCAGAATCACCTACCGTGGCAAGGAGCACAGCAGAGCTTCCTGACAGTGGAAGGCTCATAAAGGGCTGCAGCAGACAGACTCGGCAACCAGCTCATGGAGAGCAGCATAGCATTCCACGACCTACTCAAAACAGGCGGGGGTGGGGGGCATAAGAGTAAGCAGAGGCTCTCATTTCAACTGCTGCCCATTCCAGGGAGTGGACAAGATGGTGGAGGACTGAGTGGTCAAAGGTCTCTCTCTGGCTCTTGGGCAGTCTGCTCAGAACACACTCCCCACTGCCAGGGGGTGTCCCAGTGCTCCGCATACTGCTCACCCCTGTTTTCCCACAATGGAGAACATGGACCCGGCAAGCACAGTCCTTTGGACATAGCAGGTGGCCACAAACAGTAATTCTCACCTACTGTTTCCTCCTGAGCACTCTCACTTCCCTGTGGGTCACTCTGAACCATGGTGTGGTCAGCAAGCCTACCCTGAGCACCCCCAGGGAGCCTGCTATGAGTGACTATTGGGAAATAGCACAGCACATCCCAGGGATTCAGAGACTCAGTCCTGGAAGACAGGAGATATCCCAGGATGATCCAATGAATGGCAGTAAACCAATACAACAGGCATGGGAGACCTGATTCTAGTTCTGGCTTTGCCAAGGCACTTACACCTCTCTGGGCTCAACCTCTGGCTCCATCTCCCTCCAGGGTTCTAGTGAGTCAGGGAGCAACCAGGCAGTCACATCCTTAGCAAACTACTTTATTACAGAGGTGTGTGCTCAATCATGTGCTAATCTTTGTAACCCTATGGACTGTAGCCCACCAGGCTCTTCTGTCCATGGTATTTCCCACGCAGGAATACTGGAATGTGTTGCCATTTCCTTCTCCAAGGGATCTTTCCCACCCATGGATTGAAGCCACATCTCTTGTGTCTCCTGCGCTGGCAGGCAGAGTCTTCACCACTGTGCCACCTGGAAAGCTCTTCTCACACAGAGAGGTGAGGTGGGAGAGTCACTATGCTGATTTCCCAGCTCCCCTCCTCAAAAACAGGGTGAACTAAACTAGCTCCAGAACCACTCCTATTTTGATGATAAAAAGCAGGAACAATATAAAGCTTTGCCTTAATCAGGAAGCCAAACATTGTAAGCAAACAAAAGGCAAGAAAGGGCTGTTAAGGGCTCAGCATCTTGTGCAACATGAGACATAACTACTACATCACTGCCATGACTGGCCTTAACGCCATCTTCCCATTAATATGGAAATACTCTCTAGTGGACACTAAGTTCTGCTTTCATTTCAAAAGGTCTGTTGGAAAGAGGACCTCACTGTTGTTATTTTGTGGTTTCCCTGCTCTCTGCTCTAAGGAGGGACTCAGTGGAGCTTTAGATGGAGCCGGGGCAACTTGGGGAACATGTCTGCCCCTTCTCTCCCCCCGCCCCTCCAACACTCATTTTCACCATTCTCCCCCCCAAACTGCCCCTATGACCGCCGCCCCTAACGGCTGGAGGACGCAGCAATAGGACCTGCCCACTGGCAGCATTCTTGTTTGCCCGGCACTTTACAGTTTATGCGGAAGTTTCGCCCCCCATTTCCCCGAACCTCAGAGTGGCAACCGCCCCATTTCGTAGCTGCAGAAACTCTGGCTACCGGAAATGAAGCGACCCGCCCACGTTCCCACGCCGGGGGGGTGAGGCTGGCGGTGGGGACTCTGCTTCCGGGAGGGCCGCGCCGGCGTCCCGGAGGAAACCCCGTCGCCCACCGAGGCCCTCGGACTGTGCGCTCACCATTCTCCCCCCAAACTGCCCCTATGACCGCCGCCCCTAAGGGCTGGAGGACGCAGCAATAGGACCTGCCCACTGGCAGCATTCTTGTTTGCCCTGCACTTTACAGTTTATGCGGAAGTTTCGCCCCCCATTTCCCCGAATCTCAGAGTGGCAACCGCCCCATTTCGTAGCTGTAGAAACTCTGGCTACCGGAAGTGAAGCGACCCGCCCACGTTCCCACGCCGGGTGGGTGAGGCTGGCGGTGGGGACTCTGCTTCCGGGAGGGCCGCGCCGGCGTCCCGGAGGAAACCCCGTCGCCCACCGAGGCCCTCGGACTGTGCGCACCAAGTCGTAGCCAAACACCTACCGACCTGCCAGGAGTCCGCGCCGCGCTTCCGGGTGTGGTCACGTGACCGCCCACGTGACCGCCTGGGGAAGGATTGGAAGCTCGCTCCGCCTCTGCCTGGCTTTTAGGCTCCTGCCCGCCGCCGTGCAGTTTGCTCCCGCTAAGTAACAGGGACCGTCGACCCCTGACTGCGACCCTCACTTCCTGCGGGACAGTGGCTGCGGCCCTCCGGCTCATTTTTAAATTGGATTGTTTTTGTTATTATTTCTGTGATTTCTTTTTTTAGATACAAACTGTTAGGTATCTGTTTTGCATTATTATCATTATTTATTTACTTGTTTTAGCCAATCTGTCTTTTTGTTTTTTTGTTCCCTTTATGGTGACTTTTGAAGAATAGAAATCTTTGTGTTTTTTTGTGTCCTATTTAAAAAGTCTTCACCTAAGCTAGGGTCCAGAAAAGCATCTACTGCTTTATTAACTGTGCCAAAGCCTTTGACTGTGTGGATCACAACAAACTGTGGAGAATTCTTAAAGAGGTGGGAATACCAGACTACCTGACCTGCCTCTTGAGAAATCTGTATTCAGGTTAAGAAGCAACAGTTAGAATTGGACATGGGACAACAGACTGATTCCAAATAGGAAAAGGAGTACATCAGGGCTGTATATTGTCACCCTGCTTATTTAACTTATATGCAGAGTACATCATGAGAAACGCTGGGNTTGAAGCTGAAACTCCAATACTTTGGCCACCTGATGCGAAGAACTGACTCATTTGAAAAGACCCTGATGCTGGGAAAGATTGAAGGCAGGAGGAGAAGGGGACGACAGAGGATGAGATGGTTGGATGGCATCACTAACACAATGGACATGAGTTTGAGTAGACTCCGGGAGTTGGTGATGGACAGGGAGGTCTGGCGTGCTGCAGTCTATGGTGTCGCAAAGGGTCGGACATGATTGAGGGACTGAACTGAAGCTAGGGTCACAGAGATTTTATCCTGTGTTTTCTTCCAGAAGTTTTTTAGTCTTAGGATTTGCATTTAGGTCAATGATCCATTTTAAATTGATTTTTGTAGGTGGTGTAAAGGAAGGGTTTGGTTTTTTGTTTTTGCAAATGTGCAGTTTTTCTAGCATCGTTTGTTGAAAAAATATCTTTTCATCACTGAATTAACTTTGACACATTTGTCTCAAATCAGATGACCATACATGTGTGGATATATTTATGGGCTCTATTCTGTTCAATAAATTTAGAAGGATTCAGGTCACACTAAGGATTTTACTGATTTTTCTCAAAGAAAACAGCTATTGGTTTCATCAGCTTTCATTGATTGTCTGGTTTTTATTTCACCAATTTCTGTGTTGATATTTACTCTTTCTTTTGTTTACTTTGGATTTAATTTGATTTTTTTTTTACCAATCTAATTTGCTATTTTTAAAAAACAGTTTCTTAAGGTAGAAACTGAACCATTGATCTGAGAGGTTTTATTTTTATAACTAAAGAGTTTACTGCTATAAATTTCCCACAGTGTACCGCTTTCTCAGCATCCACAACTTTTGATATGTTGTCTTTTCATTTCTCATTAGTTCAAAATGCTTTCTAATTTTTGTTTTGATTTTTTCACCAAAGAGTTATTTAAAAGTGTTATTAATTTCCAAATATTTGGAGGTTTTCCACGTATCTTTCTGTTATTGGTTTCTATTTCAATCCACTTTCATAAGATAATATACTCTGTGTGATTTCAATACTTTTATCAAGACGTTTATTGATGGTCTATCTTATGAGCTGTCTTGGTGAATGTTCCATGTATACTTGAAAAGAATATGGTTTCTTGTTTTGCTGGGTTGAGGGATCTATAAATGTTAAATAGATTAAGTTGACTGATAGCAGTATTCAAGTTTTCTATATCCTTAATGGTGTTCTGTGAACTTACTCTATCAAATATTGAGTGAGTGGTTTTGAACTCTAATCGTAATTGTGGATTTGTCTATTTCTCCCTGTAGTTATGTCATCTTTTGTTTCATATTATTTTGAAGCTCTGTTATTTGATGCATACGTGTTTATCATTATTATTATTATATTTATGAGAGCATTATGATAGCTTAGTTGGTAAAGAATCCGCCTGCAATGCAGGAGACCCTTGTTCAATTCCTGGGTCGGGAAGATCCACTGGAGAAGGGATAGGCTATCCACTCCAGTATTCTTGGGCTTCCCTTGTGGCTTAGCTGATAAAGAATCTGCCTGCAAAGGAAAGGCTACCCACTCCAGTATTTTGGTCTAGAGAATTCCATGGACTGTACAGTCCATGGGGTCACAAAGAGTCAGACATGACTGAGTGACTTTCAGTTTATAATTATTATGTTATAATAATTATGTTAGTACATTATTATCAATGTACTATCTCCTATACTATTATGAAATTATCTTTTAATCTCTGGTAATATTTGTTGCACTAAATCTACTTTGTCTGAGAATAGTATAGCTATCACAGCTTTCTTTTGATTAGTGTTAACATGGCATGTAAAGTTCAGGACATGACATTTTGGTATACTGATTATTTTGAGCTAAAGGCACTTGAAAAAACAGCAGATGCACTTCCCTTGCCTTCCTGAAACAGGGCGTGAAACTAAATTCCTGTGTGAAAGACACCCTCCTCCTATCAGGAGAAAAGAAACATCCTTGTCTCCAGAAATGAGGAGTCCAGGCAGAGAGAAATCTGTACAAACAGACTTTGTTAAAAAAAATTCTTAGCTTTCTTTAGTCTCCTCAAATAGTTTAGTTACTTTTCCACAATTGCCACACTCTGTTGAACCTAGTATATTAGCACATTGACCCTGCCACTCCTCTGGGTCTTCATTTTCCTTGTGGGAGCTTCCATGTGCATGTGAAAAAATTACTAAATAAAAGCTGTATGCCTTCCTCCTGTTAATCCGCTTATGGGCAGTCCCAGCCAGAAATCTTCAGAGGGTTGAGGAGAAATTTTACCTCCCCTGTGCTTTGCTCAGTTGTTTCAGTTGTGACTCTTTGTGACCCATGGACTGTAGCCCAGCAGGCTCTGTCCATGGGATACTCCAGGCAAGAATACTGGGGTGAGTTGCCATGCCCTCCTCCAGGGGATCTTCCTGACCCAGGGATCAAACTTGGGTCTCCTGCTTTGCAGGCAGATTTTTTTACTGCTAAGCCACCAGGGAAGTCCCTTTCCCTCTCCTACATATGTAATTTTCCATCCCCTCACATTTAACATACTTCTGTTTTCATATCTAACGTGTATTTTGGTAGCCAGCATATAGTTAGATCTAATTTTTTATCTAGACTGACAACCTCTGCCAGACTAAATTGTCAGATTGTATGTTAAGCCAACTTACTGTGATTACTAACATGGTTTGAGTTTATGAGTCTGTTATCTTGTTATTTGTTTTCTACTTGTCCTGTCTGTTCTTTGTTTCTTCTTTCATCTTTTTATGCCTGTTCAAAAAATCTATTAGTATTTTTATGTTTCTGTATTCTCTCCTTTGCTGGCTTCAGGACTAAGATTCGGGTGAGAATGTGATACTCAACATAAATGCAAAATTTAAAGGGATGTCAAAAATTGGTAATCAAGATACATACTATATGAATTAATGTTTTTAAAAGTCAATATAAAACACATGATGAATAAAATATCAAAATTTCAAACATAAAGATGATCATTACTTATGATTTTTCCTGTTG